AATTTAAAGTCATAGTAAACATAAAGTTCATCTTGCATGTTCATCTTCAAAAATTCATAACTTAAGTTATACTATGCCAAATAACTTAATTCTTGTTCTCATGTATTCTTCTTTTACATAATAATTACTCATCTAAATCATACTTTTCCAGCATATTCATATCTTCATGAAAATCTCATGAAATTCAACATCTTATCACATCAAGTACATATATCATATAATTGATCTTTAACAACTTTAACTCTTTGTATCAATTATAAACTTCAACTTCTAAATCATGATATACATACTCATAAACATGTAAACTTATCATCAAAGCATGAACTTAAGTATGAAACTTTAAGATAAGTAAATTACCTCCTTCTTGGTAGAGTTAAAACTTGATTCTTTACTTCAAATTCTTTACTTCTCCAAAGTTTCTACCACTTATTCTCTCTCTCACTTTATCTAACTTTGGAACTTTATTTTGGTGTGAAAAACTCTGAATTTTAGGCCTCTATTTATAGGCACAAATTGGAGAAACATCCAAATAGAGTGTTTAAATGATCATATATAAAATTTAACTTATAAACTTAAATAATCTATAAAATATATTATGATTAACTTATTCACTCATCCAAATCATATTTAAACCTCAAAAATGGCATGTGGTTGAAGTCACAATCGGATTCTCAATGATCAAACATGACTGTCGGCAACACGACTCGTGTGACCTCACACGACTCGTGTGACTAAGTCAAACGACTCGTGTGGCTCCACACGACTCGTGTGGCTTGTCACACGACTCGTGTGGAAAAGCCGAGGCTAACTTTCATCATTTCTTCATCCCACACGACTCGTGTGCCTCTTCACACGACTCGTGTGGCTTGTTCCTTGAAAAACTCTTAATTTCGATCCGATAACTGACTATCTTGGACTCGAAATCACTTATTTCTTGGAACAATAACTGAAATAACATAATAACTGAGAGGGATATTACAGTGTTCATGTCCATCTAGGTTGTGAACAACTATTCTTGTTCGCAAGTGACTGATAGAGTGATCTTCGGTTCGCCCGATGACGACCCACCCTATCTAAGTGCAGAACAACAGAACGTAGAACTTGTTTAATCTAACATGATTCTCATTCATAAAGGGTAAATGTGTAATAACATCCAAAGCCAAGTTTTCAGTATATAACACTAACAGTATTCAAATGAATAGTATACTCTTTTTCCTTCATTAGGATTTTGTCCCACTGGGTTTTTCCTAATAAGGTCTTAACGAGGCATATTCATGGTATGATGAGGACTACTGGATAAATGATATGATTCCTCACGATGATAAGAGAGACTGGAGTAGCTGTACTCTTTTTCCTTCGATCAAGTTTTTTCCCACTGGGTTTTCTTGACAAGGTTTTAACGAGGCAGCATATGTATACTCCACTACAGATGCTCTATTCGAGGGGGAGTAATATTGTGCTTCCACAATGCTCATGTTTTGTCCCATTGAGTTTTTCTGAGAAAACAATGTTATGATTCCACGATGATCAGGTTTTGTCCCACTGGGTTTTCCTGACATGCTGAAGCAACGGTACCTGATGGCCACAAGATACATTTCAAGATGAGGCATCATAAACTCACATTTTTACTAAGGCAACACCAATGTACATTTCTTCTATTTGTTAGTCCAAGGGGGAGTGTTGTAAAATATGGACTAACAAAAGTCCTTTTTGTACAAATTTGATTTTGAATTTTCTACTTGTGTAAAAATGTCAATATAGGTGTACATATTTCACCTATAAATATTGCTCAATTTATTGAGCATTATGAGATGTAGAAAAGAAGAAAAAAAAAGAGAGAAAGTAATAAAGGAAGAAAAAATTTAACAAAAATTATATCCGGTTTCTATATTTGTGTTCTTTATTTTTCTAGTATTCATAACATATTTGAGATACTGGTGAAAATTTTCCCTTATTTACAGAACAAAAAACATACACACATAGCCACACTCCAATGGCGGAGTATGAGCATCACGGAACCACCTCCGTCACTGCCACCCACCACCATCACCACCACCACGGTATGATTACTAAAGAGACGGCCCTCCAAGCCCTAAACACCATAATCCAGCTCCATTTTGAGAAAACCCTAGAGAAAAAACGAGCTGTGGACCTCCAGAAAAAGGAGCTGTGGAAGCTCTTCCATCTCTTCTTCATCTTCTTGAGCCTGGTTTTCTTGGCCCAGGCCCAGTCTCCACGGCTGCAATGCCGCCACTGCTGGGTGCCTATTGGGCTGCTCTCGCTGGCCCACCTCATTTTCTACGTGTCGGTGGCCCAAACTCTGCGGTGCATCAACGGCTTCAAATACCAGCGGCGGTGCCACAAGCTGACCCTTGGCCTCGCCACCGAGCGGCTGAGGCAGCTGAAGATGAGGCTGAGCAGCGGCGGCAGCGCCGATGAGATTGGGGAGGAGCTCGAGATTCATTATCAGGAGCCGCCAGAAAGCTATTTCGGTAAGTTCAAGAGGAATTGGGCTTTCCATTTTGGCTTCTTGATCTTCATTTATGGTTTCATGGTTTCATCTTCTGTTGTTCTTCTTTGCTTTTAGTGCTAGTTTTACTCATTAATTAGCTAGATTCGATCNTTTATTGTTGTGGATCTGTAATTGTATTTGATATAGTATGTCTTGAATCGCCCTGAGGTTCACTAATTTCGAAGAAAACTATGCTGATGTATTTATTTTAATTTTGTTATATCTTATGCAAATTATTCTTTATCGAATTTATAATGTAAATTTTTATGAAGGTTAAACTGGTGATTGCTTGCTTATAGATGAGGATGGTAAGTATGTTCTTAGTTGTCTGGAAATTTTGGAACAAATTTATATATGTAGGACCTGTTTATGGTTAGCTTTTGAATGTGCAAGAGTAGGTTGAAACTTACTAATCACTTGCTCTGTGCTGATGACCTATAATGATGCTTTTGCTCACATATAAGGGGCAATCTCAATCCCTTCAATTTGAAAAAGAAATAATTAACTCATATCTTTCTTTGATGGAGGTCATGATGCTAGACATGCTGAAATTACTTCTCTTCTTGGCTTCAACTTGGGAAGCCTTCCTATCACGTACTTTAGGGTTCCTCTCGCTATTGTAAGCTGATATTCTCGAGTATTTTGTGTATCCGGACAAAATGCAATTTAACTAACTGTATATCTTACCTCATTTCACAAAGTTTGTCAGATATTAAACTGCCTTACCACACTACTTACTAGCTGCTTTTTTCAGTGAGGTAACTTTTTGGCACATATGTACGTAATGGTGTGCTTTTCATTTTAATCCAAACCTTCTCAAATATATTTGTTCATCTTGATGGAGATAGAGCCTAATTTAAAGCTTTGGGTTCAAGCTGAATGGTTTACTTCTCTTACATTTGATAGCCTGCTAAAATATTGAAATCCCATATCCTACAAGTATGTGGAATATGGTTATGTGGCATGAGCTGGCTTTACAAAATATTCTTTTCCCTTTTCTTGACTTTGTGAATAAATTATCTACAAACTGGATACTTTTGAGCTGCGGTATTAAGATGGATGGGAGAAGCGAACTTATCATGATAATCTTTTGGTGGTTGCTCCATTACAAGGATGACCAATGTTGCGATGCTAGTTGACAAGATATGGAAGCCTTTCTTATAACAAGAAAAAGGTCCTTCCGAGCTTTGTGTCTGTCATTTATTATTGTCAGCTTTGTTGTATAGTGCATGGAAGATTGTTACAGACATACACACCAATGCATGACTCTTGCGGAGGAACAAATTTTTAATTGCATAATTTGCATTCCTTTGGACGTTGTGGCCCAATTTTGTCGAAAGGGATAAGTGCTTTTTATCCTCTTTTGAACTAATAGAGCTTGGAGAAGAATAGATTACATCTTCTAGAAGAATAGATTACATATCGTAAAAATCATTCGTTCCTCCAGGTTTCTTAAACTGTTCCAGTAAATCCTTATAAGGTTTCTTTAAATATAATTTTCGCTCATTATCAACACCTCTATCAAGCAGTCCATGAAATTATTTTGATTCGACACAGTTACTCTTATCTGACTTCTGTATTCTCTTGTTTCCCTGGGAGACTGGCGCTGAGGTAGAACATAAATGACACTGAGAAATAAAAACAAAATAACTTCACAATGATCTCTCTTTTTATTTTATTTTATTTTATTTTTTTTTTTTT